ATTTATTTAAGTAAGTGAGCACCTGCCTGGGGCTGGCCGAGGCCACTGTCACACAACAAACACCCAAACCAAGCCTGCCAGGGAAGCCTCTGGCGGGCAGCAAGTGGGCCATTTTGTTAAGTAATCGTTGTTTTTGAGACTGCACAGAGGTACAATGTGTACCTCCGTGCTACTACAGGCATGCACACTGCTAAAACCCTGGAAACACTGAAGAACAAAGCGTCGTGTGCATTTTAGCAAAGCGAACTTAAAAAAATATGAAATGTTTACTGTTTGTGTTCAGTTTTGATTCTCAAATCAAAACACATGCCTCAGTCTGTCCTCAAACCACACGCAGACTCTGAAGTCCTGCCTTCTTTCCTGGAAGCCCAAGAAACATCTAAATATGCTGAGAGGCAGTCATTTTCTACCTTTTCTAATTTTTCTTAAATTTACTTTACAAAAACCTGAACAGTTGTGAACAAATAATTCAGGTTTGCTTAGAGTAAAAGAACCCAAAGAAAACCCAAGAAATGGCTAGCGTTGTCTTCCATGTGGCAAGGAAACTCCCTGCCCGGCCCACGGTGCTAATAAACAGCCCTATGCGCTGGTGTGCGTGTGTGAGTGCGTGTCTGTGTCTTCATTTAAAAATAGGATCTGTAGGGCTGTGATGCTGGCAGCTTGCTCAGGCATAAAATACCGCGGCTGACGGGGGCTCCAGAACTGACCCTTGCCATGCCTGCACACAGCATTCTCCTTGCTTTTTATCCTGCACTTAGAGTACACATTCTCTCTCTCATGTCTGTTACCAAGGTCCCCCTTCAACGAGGACTGTTTCTGCACATGGAATTCTTCAGGACACTGAGGTCTCAGGCATTACACCTGAAGAAGTGCCCCTCTTGGTACCCAGAGCCTAATTCCTTAGGATAATGTGGCAATAATACCAAAAAGCACTTAGGTGTCATCCCTTGAACTCGGCCACTAGCCTCTCTTCCCTGTCCCTCCCTCTCTCTGGTTTGTTTTTCTTTTTTTTGAAACAGGTCTCACTATGTAGTTTAAGCAGGCCCGAACTCACTATTCTGCCCAGGCTGGTCTCAAATTCATAGTAATCCTCCTGTCTCAGCACCCCCAAAGAGACTGGCTCTCCCCACTTTTCAAAGTCTATGCCAAGCCTCATTGCCCCATAGTAATAAATCTTGCCTAGGTTCCGAATCCAGGGCACGCCAGCTGACTTTTATTTGAAAGGCAGTAATAGCCTTTACTGTGTCTATAAGAAGAAAATTTCTTTTCCCAGAAGAATTAAAGACGTCATACCACAGCGATATATGTGCACCCATGTTTATAGCAGCACAATTTGTTATAGCTAAATCTGGGAAGCAACCTAGATGCCCATCCACTGAGGAATGAATAAAACAAGATGTGGGACTTTTATACAGTGGAGTATTACTCAGCTATAAAAAAAAAGACAAACTCGAGGCTTTTGTGGGTAAATGGTTGCAACTAGAGACCACACTCATAAGTGAAATAAATCAGACCCACATGTGTAAACATCATATTGTCTCCTTGGTGTAGGAACCTGAAAGAATAAGTAAAACTCAAAATGTACAATAGATGATAGGAAAGGGAAAGAAATTGCTCAAAGGAAGGACTGGGATGAGGGAAAAGAAAAAAGGAAAGAAGGAAGGCAAAACATAAATATAAATAAATAAATATATACGAATAGCTGTGATAACTGTATTGCTGATGTTTGATGGTACATTGAAAGGAATAGCTAATGCTTAAAATTTTTTATGTTCTGATCAATTTTGCAGGCTTGTGTCTGGTAATCTGGGCAGCTGATTTGAAGGTAACCATGCAATGGAATTCCTGGTGAATTCCTACCGTTTTGTGTGGTGAAACTCTGTATTATCTCCAATGTTTTATCTAATAATTATTTTCTCACTCTCTTTAATGGTTTGAACAATCTTCCATTCTTACATCTGGTAATCAGAGCAATGTAGTTGAGGATAGCAATATGTAACATAACAACCACTGTTAATTCATATTATTTTGTCTTGGAACTATGTATCACTTTATCATGGTCTTGCTTTGGTTTGTTTATGTTTGTGATACTGGTATGCTGCTATTGTTCTGTATTTTGTTTGTCTGTGTCTCATTTACTACTCTCTTTAAAATAAAATTTAAAAAAAAAGAAGAAGAAAATTTCTTACTGCAGTTAATTTCTACTAGTCCATCTTTTACAGAGAAAGAATCTGAGGTTCAGGGAGGTTCAGTCACTTGCTCATAATCACACAGCTTGTAATTAAGCGGGCTACCAGGCTGGGACATCAAACTCCAGTCTACCCTACAACTCCACTTAGCTTTTCATTTAGTACTACTCTCTCAGTCTGGTCTCCTCCATTAAAGAGATCCTTGAGGAGGAGGATTGTGACTATGTTTTCTTTGAAGTCAGCATCACTAGATGTTTACTAAGCATCTGCCACGTAAGTGGCACAGTGCTTGCCACTGAAGATTCAAGAGACACAGGCCACATAGTCTCTGCCTGTAGAGTAGGGGACAAAGACAGAGCAGAGTTCCTCCCTGGTGCTCACAAGGCTGTGGACCCAACTGATCACAGCTCTGAGAGAAACCCACACTCCCACTGGTTTCTGGGACTGGCCAGTAATGCCAGGAATGCTCCTCTGGGACTCAGCGAGCCACTGCTACCCTGAACATGATTTCAGGTGGCATTACACAAATTCACAAAGTATTTTAGGGTGCTACCCTGGGTTCCAGGGAGCTCTACAGGATGATTTGAGGTGCATCTTGAAAGCTCACTTATCCTATTGAAATTGCAATTTTAGAGCAGCGTGCAGTGGAACACACTTCTAATTCTGGTATTCAGGAGGCTGAGGCAGGAAGACTATATTGAGTTTGAGGCCAGCCTGGGCTACACAATGAGTTCAAGGCCAGCCTCAATACATAGGGAGACCCTATCTCAAAAAAACAGCAACAGCAACAAAAGAAACTGAAATTCTGGCTGAGCTTAGGGGTAAGCAGACACGCTACGGCTCAGAATGTTTCGTTGAATGAGACTCACTGAGATTCAGATTTCTGTCTTTTCTCTTTATCCCAATTACGTTAAGAAGGCCGCCTGCTGGGATTTTCCCATTCAGGGAATGTTCTGGAAGAAACACAACCCACTGAACCTTTGTGATGGCTCCTAACTGGAAGCCCCACTGACTGTTGGTAAGCAGCCCGGGGCCGAGGGTGTGCCAGGCTGTCACTGTGCCAGCACGTGTTTTCCACAAAGCCACCGTACAGACGCTGTGTGGTGACTGAGCAGTTCTCTGGCTGGCCAGCAGATTCTCTTGAAGAAACTTCATTCTGCCCTCACTTGTAGCTCTGGGAGTGATGTGAAAGGAGGAGACAGAGCAGTTTTGAAGAAAACAGCTGAAGTTGCCTTTGCCATCTCAAGGAGTTTTGCTAGGTGCACTGGTGTTCACCCTGTAATTCCAGCTACTAGGGAGGCTGAAGCAGGAAGACTGCAATTTTGAGGTCAGCCTGGGTTCTGTCTCAAAAGAATAAAAAGAGCTGCGGGTATAGTTCAGTGCAAAGCACCAGTGGGTTTGATCCCCTGTACAAAATAAAAGTAATAAGGGAGTTTTGTTTTCTTCAACTGCTTCTTCAGAGAAATGCTTCTTGCACTGTATATTCTTTTTCCTCCTGTTCTTTTTTCAAAGGAGGAAGTTTTTCCTGCCATCAAAGGGAGATGTATAAGGGAAGAGTTGGCCTTATTGCTTTGCCTCTTACAAGGTTGGGTCTGCATAATCTTATCAGCAAGAATGAGGCATCACCGTACAGGGACAGGAAAGAAAGGACAGCTGGAAGGCATCAGCGTCTGAGCTCATTAAGGTTCTGTTTGGAAACCAGAAGTGTGTGTTGCATTATCTTCCTTTATCTTTATCTCCCTTTGGTCAGCAGAGGACTGGGCAGGGGGGTGCCTTGAAAGACAGAAAAGGGGAAGAAGGGATCATCTTGCCTCTCCTTGTACGTGCTCCAGGGCTTTCCCCGCCACCCTGGTGAGACTTCAAGCCCAGAGCAGGCGGAGCTGATGCCTGGATGTCAGGTCTCTGGTAGGAGGCACTGGCCTTCGATGTGCCTTCCCTGAAATCAGCCCTCATTCTCCATCCAACTCTTTCAGTACACTTTCCTGGGTACCTGTTGAGCACCATGAGCCAGGCACCAGCCGGAGAGGTAATAGACAGAGTTTTCACAGAAGCACGCAGTTGGGTGGGGGGACAGATAAGCCAGACACACCGGCCCGGGGATACAGTGTGACAGGGACAAGGGGTAAATAAAAAGGTGGCGCCTAAAGGCCGTGAGGGGCCTTGTGCAGCACACATGGCCCAGCGGACGTGAAGGGCAAAAAGGAGCCATTGGGGTGGAAGCAGGGGATGTGGGCCGGCCAAACGCATGGACACATGGGCAGCCTGTCAGAGCTGCAGGACTTCCGGTGGGTAAAAGTGGAGGACATGCCTGTCCCTGAATAGACCACTCAGAACAGAAAAACAAAACAAAACGAAACAGCTGAAAAAACTCTCCTTTGGCTCTTTCTGTGTAATTCTGAAAGCATAAAGAGCCTATCCTTCTTTTCCTAGCAGAGGTAAAAATGAGAATGTTACATATTCACGCTCCTGTCCCCGTCCTAGCAGCCACTGTTTATTCTCATGGTGTCACACGGCCCTAAGCCCCAAAGGTGTTCATTAAGTTTGATTTCAAGTGTCTCCTGTATCTCAGCTAAGAAAAGGCGCAGAGCAGTGAGCAGTGACCTAAGAAAGGTGAGGACAGGCCCCCCCACCCCTGACCAGCCCTGGTCCTGACTTCGTCCATTTCTTAATCTCTCAGCACTTGCTGCTTCACCTAGAAAATGTCAGAATCTTCAGGTAAATGAGTTTACCAGGAATGGATAAAATGACCTGATAATTTTCCAAATTCCCACGGCCCAAATTCATCTGTCAACACAGATGCGCACTACTTTCCGGGGTAGGACTAGAAAGCCTCGCCCGGCCCGCGGACTTTGAACGTGTTTTGCCATTCTGCTGGCTACCGCTGGGCAGATGCAGGGACGTAGGAAGGGGCAGGGGACAGAGGGCTCTCCTAGTCACTGCCAGCTGGGATCAACTGCGGTACAGGACGGTTCTGTTGCCTCCTCTCAGCTCATCCCAGCCGGCCTGGAAAGTGGCACAATGTCACCATTTTACAGATAGGAAATTGGAACCTCGGAGCCGTGCTGATTCGTACACGGGTTCTAGAGACAGAGAGGACTTAGCATGAGGCCTAGCAAGCACCTACTGAGCATTCATAACCGTACTGACATTGGAAGTATCAAAACCTGGACCCAGACAATCTGGTATCAAAGCCCACTCAGCCTAGTAAGCTACCTCCCGGGGAATCACGGTGCACTGGGAAAGTAGGGAGGAGTAGAAGTGGGAGGGAGTGCACGCTGGATCTTTCTCTGCCTAGGGCAGGTCTGTGGGCTAAGGAAGAAAGAAGGGATCACGTGAGAATAGTGCTCAGCTCATCTGCCAAGTTGTGCGTGGTCCTGGGGACTGAACCCTGGGCCTTTGCACTGAGCACATCTCCAGCCTTCAAAAGGAAAAAAAAAAAAACTTTGTATTTTTCAGACAGTTACATTAAGTCATTAAATTGCTCAGGCTGGGCTTGAACTTGCAATCCTTCCACTGCTTCAGCCTCTAAGAATGCCGGGATCCTAGGCAAGCACCACCACACCAGCTCATCTGTCAGCTCTGAGGGAAGGTGGCCGGAAGTGGCGGCTGAGAGTGAAGTCAGACCCTCTGTAGCTACACCAAGGCAGGTCTCACATGACTTCGGTGAGAAGGCCTGCGCGGCTGTTTACTATGGAAGGTTTATACGGACCATGATTCCCAATCCCGGCGCCTTCTACTTATGGTCTCTGGAAGGGCGGTGGAGGGGCAGGAAAACTACTTCATCTCCAGGTCTGGAGGGTTCAGCTAAACTTCTCCCTACCTTAACCTTGACACAAGTAGGTCTCTTACTTTATAAAGCAGAAGTGAGATGGCTGTGCGGCCTGTATTTCATTTCTACAGGGCGATATTCTTTTGGTTTTTCTTTTTTTTGGTTTTTCTCCGGTACCGGGAACCAAACTCACGACCTTGCGCTTGCCAGGCAAGCTCTTTTGCCGCTGAGCTAAATCCCCAGCCCCTACAGGGCGATATTCTTATGGCACTATGGCAACAATAGTGAACACAGCAGATGTATTGAAAAGGAAAAAGGGAATGAGCTGGCCCATCCCTGGGTGAAGTGAGCTTTGTATTTTTTGTAGAGCTGGTGTTTTGTGCACCCCCTCCCAGTAGCCTTTGTCTGTGTGCTGTTGCTGGTTTCCACAGAGCCCCTTTGTGATAAGATGCAAAGAAAAACAGAGGAAGGAGGAGTAGCTGGAAATAGGTAGGAAAAGGCAACAAAGGAGGAAAGTATTTCTAAGTCCTAGAGGACCATTACTGCTGTTGGAATGAGTCAAAAGGAATTATTATTGCAGCCACCCCACAGAGCCTGGAACTACAAGAAGCTCGGGACTGCGGGCCGGGGTGCATGTGGACACTGAACCTCACACGCGAGTTACAGAAGTGCAAGACAGTCAGACTTCTGTACCTGTGGGTTCTGCATCCTTGGAGCCGCCAACCTCAGGTTGCAAATATCCGGGGGGAAAACCCCTCACTGATACTAAACAGTGCTCATTTTTTTTCTTGTTATTATTTCTTACATAATTTGGTATGACCACTATTTACATATAAGTAAGTACTCTAGAGAGCATTTAACGTGTCCAGGACGATGTGTGTGGGTATATGGAGGTGCTATGCCAATTTATATAAAGGACCGCGGCACCCATGGACTCTGATATGCAAGAGGCAGAACCAGAACTGAGGGTCGACTGTGCTTCACGCCTGTAAAGATGACGTTTTGCAAACTTCAGTTAATGAAGGGAAACCTGCTATGCGTGAAGAGAACTTACCTTTATATCCCAAAATGGCTACGGTGATGGTTAGTAAGGCACACAAGATGTATAATAATATGATAGAAAACTTCAGTGCCCAGTTATTCTTACATTTGGTACATTGTGTTCCTTCCTGAATACCTGTAAGAGAAGACAAATCTTAATACTAGTGAACTAAAACATCATTTCAAACAGGATGCTTTTGTATTCTGATTCAAATACTGTGACTAAGAGTAATTTTATATGTGCCTTACTATACTACCAAAAGTATTTAAAAATTAAACTTGCCACTGTAGCAATACAAACCCTTTCAATAATATATTGTTATTCTTGCATTGGATGGGATTTCAAAACAACACGTAACTTCGTCTTACAGAACAAATACCACTATGATATAGTTTGAATAAACATGATTTAAATACCCATATTGTCTTGTTTTAGACCTTATTGGACAGGCCCACAGCAAATCAACCCCAACCAACCAACCATAAAATCCTTGTCACCTGATGTTGTTTCAGGGGATGTTGTTTCAGCCAGAGCTGGTTCCCACTGGCTTGTGACAGCCAATTATTACACTTTCAGGAATTTTGGTTGTTAAACTGATCATGGCATGAAAGCAGTCTGGGAGGGAGTATTTACACCATGGAAATTGGTAATCACTACAAATTAGCACCCCCCCACACACACACACTAGTAAAATTACTGGTTTATCCACATGCCACTGGTTGTGATATACTAGAACCTATAGCAGAAAACATGTTTATGATTAAGTGCTCATTATATAACCGTTTTGTATAGTACATGTACACAAAAACAGATACTGACCCTTAGTTATTACAGTAATTGGAATCATAACTATGGAACAAATAGAAAAGCCAGACATTTTTGATGACAGGAGGTAAATTTTTACTACAAACAGTTCAACTTTTTGAAAAACAGTCTAGTCTAAGTGGTAAACCAGCATCCTTGCTGCAAGCAACCCCACACACAAACCCATAAAGAAAGAACTTTCCATCTGACTGATTAGAAACACAGAAGACAAAGGCTGTGGCTGTTTTAATGTGAAAATCACATTGTTCAGAGGATCCGTGTATCAGGAGATGCCTTGTTTGCCTGCCCAGCTTCCCCGTGTGTGTCTTACTAACGGCATCCCCCAGGAGCGACAGCACATAAAGGACTGATCTCTTATAATTGTGCTTATAACTTCTGATGGCTAAGGCATGAGGATTAAGCCGTCCTCGAGGTTTCTTTCCTTTGGTTTGTAATTTTACAGACTGCCCTTCTTCTGTGAAAAGAGTTCTTCAGCTGTGTTAAATGCAAAATGATGATGGGAATAGCAGATAACAATGACTTACATGTAGCTCCCAGGGTTCAACTCTAGTGTGCTGGGCTACGGACACAAGGGAAGGGGTCTGATACGCGTTTCATGGCCTAGAGCGCACTTCTCGGACTTCAGGGTACACAACAATCACCTAACGGGCTCGTGACGACAGCATTCCCGACTCGGGAGGTCTGAGAAACGGCCTGAGAACGCGGGTGCCCCGCAGGCTCCCAGGGCCACTGATGTGCAGCAGCGCACTGCAGACCGCACTTTAGAAGGTGCTTCTCAAACTTTAAAGGGCTTCCCCCATCGCAGGCCTGAAAGCAGACTGCAGTACGGCTGGTCTGAGCTAGTGCGCAGCTTGTGCCAGGATCACGTGATGCCTGGTCCCCGGGCCTCGCCTGAGGATGTTGGGGGAGGGGGGCGGTCAAAGTTAGAAGATGGGTGGGCTGCACCAACCGCTAGGTTAGCTAAGTCCTGGGAGGTCAGACTAAAATTCAGACTCATCCGTCAAAAAGGCCTAGAGTAAATTGAACACTTTGTGTTACGATTCTCCCATATATTAATTGCCTTTCCTTCCAACCCTCTTTAATAGCCAGATGTATATCTCACTACCTCTGCTGACGTCCAAAACTGACCTCAGTGCTAGCCTCGCCAAAACAGATTTGCAGCTCCCCCCGCCCCACCTAAATACGATCTCATTCCCTCCAGTGGTTAAACTCAAAGGCACCATGAATTTTTTTCTCGTATGTGTTCTCCAGTCCAATCAGCCCTGTTAATCTTCAGGCAAGATACTTTTACCTCTGCTCCGGCATCTTGGTATTGTTAATTTCCTGCACTGTCCCAGGCCCTGGGTGGGGCACTTTCCACACAGCATCTCTAACTCTGAAAGTAACCCTGCAAGGACGAGTGGTAGTGAGCGCCGAAATGACGCCCAGGACACATCGCGGCCAGGATTCCAACCTGTGTGGGGCTCCACACGCCACCATCTCTCTGCTATGTCACCGACCCCGCGTCTCCACATCCTTTTCATTGCCATTGCCACCATCCCAGTGTGGGACATTTTCTTCTTAACGGAAGCTTCCTCTTCCATTCCTGCCAGGATCCAGCCTCACCCAGTACTAAAATATCGCTGTCTTCATGACATTTGCCAAAACGGATAAACAAAAATTTCAGTGCCCCACGCTTAACTAAAGGACGGATGCACGCACGCACACGCACCGCATCCATACACACAAATGCAAACGCAAACGCAAACATGCCAGCTCGTCCGCGCTCTGTAATCTGGAGGCTCAAACTGAGACGACTCTTACATCCAGCTTTGAAACTGGGAGAGGAGGAAGTGTAGACGAGCCCACAAACATGTCACATTCCACGTTGAAAAACAATCCGCGTGGCGAGGGGGGGCAACTGTAAAACTGCACAGTGACAGATAGGAACGCTGGACCGACTTCCTGTGGAAAGACCGGATGACACTCATGGTTGTGGGGGGCTTTTTCCTTTTGCACGTTAGGGTCATGCGGGAGAGGGGGCTTTTTATACCTCTCCGAGGTGATGTTTTACATCCCTCCAGAAGAGCCCCGGAAGATTTGCTGAGAGCAGAGATGGTGGTAGATCGCGGAGCCTGAGGCGGAGAAGGCAGCACTAGGGTCACGTGGTCAGGTGTCACTGCGTTACTGATGCGAAAAGCGAAAACCACGGAGAAGAGGCAGGGTCATCAGCCACACAGCCTGACTGCGGTGTGGGCATCTGTCCCTCCCGCCCTTCCTGCGCACTAGCACAGGGTGGCCACTGGGCGGCCCGCGCCTGTGGCATGTGTGCAGGCTGCCCCAGACGGTTGTCACCGGCCCGCATTCCAGAGAGCGGCACTTCCTCGCGGCTGCGCACCTCCCCGCCGACTATCTGTGCTAATCAACAGCAGATGCCCGCCTCCCCTTCCACTTGACACACGCGCTCTGGCTTGTTTTTCCTCCCCCTGAAGACTTATTTTTAATAAGAATTCTGTTTCATCTTTTCTTCTCTGCCCTCTCCTGGGAGGACATCTGGCCAAACACGCAGATGCCTACTACAAAGGGACCCTGCTGGCTCCCGGGGCCGGGGGACCCCCTCCTCCTTCAACCGAGATGGTCACAAGAAAACACTGCAGAGCGATACCCCCTGTTACCAGCCTTTGTAGTGTTTGTTTTCTCAGCATTACTTTCCAGGGACTGGGGACCTGGTTCCCATGGGGGTGGGCGGGAGGGCTGCGCGCAGAATGCTGTGGATAAGAAACTCCGGCTCAGGAAGTGAAGCAGCGCTGTGCCTTCACCACCAAGAGATCGGCTTCTTCGAAAACCTGGCCCAGGGGCTGGGGATTTAGCTCAGCGGCAAAAGCGCCTGCCTGGCAAGCGCAAGGTCGTGAGTTCGGTTCCCGGTACCGGAGAAAAACAAAAACAAAAACAAAAACAACAAAAAAAGAAAACCTGGCCCACAGCGCATCTGTAACTCGGCCAGCACGGGCAGAGAGGGGCCCGCAGGCCCAAGCCTATCAACTATCTTCTGCCCCATTCCGTTCTCGGCTGCTGGTCTGAATGTATTTTCTAGCGTCCCAGCCTTTGTTACTCAAGAAACGTTGGGGTCCTCAGGAAGCCAGACTCCTCACTCTGGTTGACTCCTTGAATAGTCTATGGAAGCTAGAAGAGGCTGACAATTTGGTCCCTGGTGTCCAAACGCAAAGTTGCCTGTGCTACCCTGTTTCTAAAAACATATGTTTCAAGTAAAAAGTGTTGGGGTGACAGGGGGCCCCAGGGCGGGGGTGGTGAGAGGGAATAAGTGAAGCTCTCCAGGAATGACAGTGCAGAGGGCCAGAAGAATTCACCAGCAGAGAGAATTCCTTTCGGCTGTGGTTCCCCAGAAAGAGCCCTCCCAAGTGCTGTGGTCCAGGCTCCAATCCAGCCTGTTTTTACAGTCTTTCTGGAGAAAATAAAGGGTCTCCAGCATCCTATTTTCCCACCGTGCACATCACTGAAGACGGGCTCCTCTGCTAACACGCACGCAGGCTGAGCAGTCCCCTTCCTTTGTGGGTGGAGGCCGGCACGGAGGTCAGAGTGGCTCACTTCGGGCTGTCTTAATTATCATGTCAGCAGCTCAGTGCTGTTGTCCCAGGGATCGCATTACCAAAGAGAAGCTTCAAACGCTGGAGGATTGCAAAATCCAGAAGACCACAGATTCTGATCTGAGACTTGAAGTGACCTTTCCATGTGGTTTTTCTGCAGTTATTAATCTACCGCCTGGTGGCAGATATTCCCATAAACCCAAGAGGATGATTTGGCTCTAACAGTAAAACTGACGATTCAAATGAATTCCTATATGTAGTTAAAATACCCTCCAAAGCAACAAAACAGGCAGAGGTTACATCCTGGCTAGTTGCTTGAGTGTTATGTAATATCACTCGACCAAAGGTTAAATGCAAAAGCCCCAATAATTAGCTTTTCCTCATTATGAAGGCCATTTACTCTATGATGAGATATGGATTTAGTTAGTACAATTTTTTTATTAGTGAGTAATTTAGTTTCCCAAATACAAATCCCAGCACTGGACACTTTATTATGCCAAGTTTCCTAAATGATGCGGAGAATCATGACAATGGAAGCAGGACAAGAATTGGCAACGAAACCACTTTCTGTGCAAAATAAATGCAGCCTCACAGCAACTCCGTATTCATAAAGGTGAATTCAAACCAGAGAGAGTATTTAGAAGGAAGCTTTATGAGAGTGTAGATCCTTCAGTGTCCATTCTTAGAGTAATAGTGTGCATAGTTAGCAAGTGTATAGTTGTTTCT